GACAAATACAATTAGGTAATAGAAATCGAGATAATGGAGACAACTTTAATTATTAAAGAGCATATCTAAGGTGAAAAATGCTTCCTCAATGCATAAATGACAATTTTGTATAATTAACTTACAAAACAAAAAAGGTAATGAGAATGAAGTAGGGCAACAATGATGGAAATGATGACAAACTATTAGCTTGTAAATGCGAACCATCTTCATGCTGATGCATTCACACAATGTGTGCGAAAGTAACGGACACAGAAATACACTTTGTAAAAGGATTTAGTAACAAGCCTAAAGAAGAATTTAGCTAGAAGTCGGAGTAGGTGTAGCGGTTTGACGTAACTGCTGTGACTGCTGCTGCACACTGCCAACTCCAGGTGGGCCGGAGGGACCTGAACCATTTACAGAAGGTGGCCGGCTACTGCTCCCACTGATACAAGTCGCTGATGACTGTGGAGGAGCAACAGAAAGGGCATCCTCTTTTGGGGGTCCGCCCATCTGCTGTGTCTGACTTTGATGGTGTGGAGGGTGATGCGGATGATGAGAATGGGGTGGCATCTGCATTGAAAGTGGTTGACTATGTACTGACGGACCACTAAGAGACATCCCTGCACCGGGAGGAGCAGGAGGTATGAGGTGTGATGGAGGTGGAACGCCAGGACCACCATTTGGGCCAGTTCCAGCAGAGCTACTACCAGATGGATGATGAAGAGTGGAGTGTGGGGAACCCGAGTAGACCGCACCTGCCGTAGAAGGCGGGGGTGGATAGCCAGGCCAGCTAGGATGGATTGAAAGTCCTGAAGGATGATGTGGCCCAGCAGATGGGGGGGCATGCTGCTGCGGTGGCGGAGGTGGCTGTGGTTGGTAGTGCTGAGGAGGCTGTTGCGGCTGTTGGTGGTGATGTGGATGCGATGGAGGCAGCGGCCCGTAATGGCCCGAGTGATGGTACGGTGGAGCAGCATGATGTGGAGAAGGACTACCGTAATAGCTGGCCCCAGGATGGGGACCGTAGCCACCTTGGTGCGGTGGCATAGGATAACCTATAAGACATAGATGCATAATGAAATGCGTTCACATAGATTAAACACAAATTGATAAACACATTCAATAAAGATCACTATTGCTTCATATCAAACTCATAGAAGCCTTAGAAAGAAAGCATCATAAGTAAAACGTATCGCTAATTTTCCTATCCACTAAGTCATTGTTGGTTTAATTGTAAGGTGAAGTTTGTTAAAGAGTGGTTCAACATACGGCGCAACGATTCGAGGGTGTTGGAAACTCCACGAGAACGTCTAAGCTAAAGTGGACAATATAAATAAACTAGTTAACTGTGGTCTGACCTCGTTTTCACAACTTGGTCGTGTGTCAGGGCGACTTAGTTGGACACTTCTTGTCCGAAATCATCTGCAATAATAACTATCAAGCGTCGGAGCGTGGACTTGCTACATGATCAGACATTTCGCCGACATCGTCACTACATCTAACCAGTCTCAGCAACAAGCTAAAACGCATCAGAAACAATTGAAATCAATCTCTTGACTAACTTTCTGCCAAAACGGTTGGCATCACTCCTGTCCTGGCCTATCTATCTACTCACTACCCTCTTGTCCTACTTCTGCCCTACACAACTTCTGACTAGTTTATATTACAATCCTCAAGGTGTCCTTTGGACGAATTTACCGTGGCTTCATCACACCATCTGTTTGCCTTATCCCCTCTAGTGGCTAATCCGACTCGGGCTTCCTATATGGATCTGGCTAATTGGCCTGTAGATCCGTTTCCTATCTCTCTGGGTGACCGATTTGACTTGGTTCCAGCCTAGGTGTACCTTTAACTCCAAGTCTTAATTCTCAAGTCCCCAAAGTCACCCTATATGATAAACGCCTTAGCCCTGATTCCCAGGGTTGTGGATATTAGGCATTGCTTTCAAAATCAACTCCTTGATTAAACCCATATACCCTGAGCGAACTGTGCACTTCTATCTCTGGTCATCTGCTACGTCTCGAGTGGATTTCTAGTCAATTTGGCTATAAGATCGAATTTCTGTGACAGATGTAATTGTTCGTAGTCACGTGACCATCGGGCCCCCAATGTTGTAATTGTTTCTTCTAGCAGACTGCAATCATTCAAACCGTCTTAGCTTTATTGCAGAAACATCCCCATCCTTTTCTTCCTTGCGATCCTTTTTCCTTTGGTTTACGAAATATCCTTGATCCTGACGCCTCCTTTTTGCTTAGCTTGCCGTATCCTTGTTTACTCCGAGTGTGATTAGACAATAGACAAATTTATCACTAACTGCCATTTCCCTATTTTCTGTTAATTATTCCCCCCTCCCCAAGAGTGTCAACGGCATCCATAATCTTATGTTTCTTTGTGTTTTTAAAATGAAGCCCTTCTTTCTGTAACCTTCTGACTGATTTCGTGTCAGGCGTATGCAATGTGTAACGCTATATACGATCTTTTGACATCAATTTTTCTGCAGAGCCTTTGATGTTCCTTGATTCGTATGCTGGTTTCTCCCTGTTTCACCAATATATTCCTATTCGCAGGCACCGCATCCTATGAACTAAACTCCCGAGCAAGTAGTTTTTGAGCTGGTTCGTAGGAAGGGAGAAATAACCATTTTTTGTTAGTCTTCTCCATTTTTTTCATAATCCCAATCTGTATATCAACTCTTCACGGCCCGTACGTGCCTTTGTATTACATCCCTCTGGTTTCCGTTGCCGAGGAACATCCCGGTCAATTTTTCCCATTCTTTATTCCATAACTCCATGTCCGTTAATCGTAAGCTTCGTAT